GACCTAGCACCTGTCACCCCCACCCCCTGCTGAACTGACCCAGCGACTGTCACCCCCACTCCCCGCTGAACTGTCACCCCCTCACACCCCCCGCTGACTTGACCCAGCGCCTGTCACCCCCACCCCCGGCCGACCTGACCCAGTGCCTGTCACCCCCACCCCCTGCTGACCTGACCCAGTGCCTGTCCTCCACCCCTGGCTGACCTGACCCAGTGCTGGTCACCCCCACCCCCTGCCGACCTGACCCAGCGACTGTCACCCCCACCCCCTGCTGACCTGACCCAGCGACTGTCACCCCCACTCCCCGCTGACCTGTCACCCCCCACACCCCTGCTGACCTGACCCAGCGCCTGTCTCCCACCCCCTGCTGACCTGACCCAGTGCTGGTCACCCCCACCCCTGGCAGACCCGACCCAGCGCCTGTCTCCCACCCCTGGCAGACCTGACCCAGCGCCTGTCCCCCCACCCCCTGCTGACCTGACTCAGCTCTGTCCCCTGCAGCCCCAGATGACAGCGGAAGCCACACCCGTCTCCTGTGTCCTGGAAGGAGGCCTCCCCAGCCTCACCAGCACACAGGTGTGCGCCCATACCTGCCCAGCAGGTCCCCGGGAGCGAGGGACAGAGTGACATCGCCGCCTCATCAGCTGGTCCCCCTCCTCTGTCCTGCCGGTCGGCGCCCACCGGGACCTCCCACGCCCCTACACAAGCTCGCGCGGCTCGGCGCGTCCCGTCCAGGGTTCAGCACGGTCGGGGGGCTTCCAGCTCACAACGGAGGGGGCCGCCGGGGACCTGGACCAAGCCCCAACTCCGCCCTCGCCGGGGCTCCCCGCGCCCCCTCCCACACCCCGCCCCCGCCTGCGAGGCCACTGCCCTCGGACCCGACTGCCCCGCGGGCTCCTCACCTGCGCTGGCGCCCCTAGCCTGCGTCCCGACGCCCAGGGGACCCCCACAGGCCGCCGGCGTCACGGACGGCACAGGCGCGCGCACGACTCGCCGGCCGCAAGCACGCCCCGCGCACACGCACGCGCACGCGCACAGGGGCGTGGCGGCGGCCGCCCAGACCGGACGAGACCACGACGGGCGCGGGGGGATCGCGGGACGTACCACGGGCGGGGGGTGGGCGCCTGGCGGCGGCAGGCCGGAAGGAGCTCCGGCCGCGTGGACGCCGGGTTCCCGTCTGGGCAGTGAGGACGCGGCCATTGCGCCTCCCAGCCGCATGGGCCCCGGGACACCCGCTCGCGGATCCCCCCCAGAGACGCGGCCAAGTGCCCCCGTTAGGCGCGCGGCCGGCGGGACTGGTCGCGGCAGAGCGCGGCAGGGCTCCAGGCTCCATCCCGGAGCTCGCACCCCGCGCGGGCAGCCCCTCAGGGACTGCGGCGGGTCACTTCGGTGCGCTGAGGCGTCCGCTCCTGCGAAATGCGCCCCGGCGCTGACCCGGGGCCTCCGCGGAGGACGAGGGCCTGGGGCCGCGAGCTCGTGGTCGGGGGAGGGCGGCCTCAGGACCCCGCGGGCCCAGTGCGGCTGCGGCTGCCACGGATCCACGTCCAGCCTGGGCCCGGTACTCCCGCGGACGCCTCTGTCGTCCAGCCTGGGCCCGGTGCCCCCGCGGCCCTCGGGAGGGTTCTCTCAGTTGAGCTGGGAGCCACAGGCCCTGGGCTCCTGCTGTCTCTAGCACAGGGCGCTGTTCTGCCCAGGAAGCCACAGGGTCCGCGCCGCCCCTGTGGGGTTCAGCCCGACGCCAGCTCCCCCTCTGCTCACAGCCAAGGCAGGCTTTCCCTGCCCACGCTGATCACGCACAGGGAGGCGGTCACAGCCACCCTGCCTGCACCGGGCACCGCGCACGGGGAGGCGGTCACGGCCACCCTGCCTGCACCAGGCGTCAGGCACAGTGGGGCGGTCACGGCCACCCTGCCTGCACCGGGCACCTCACACGGGGAGGCCACGGCCACCCTGCCTGCACCAGGCACCAGGCACAGTGGGGCGGTCACGGCCACCCTGCCTGCACCGGGCACCAGGCACAGTGGGGCGGTCACGGCCACCCTGCCTGCACCGGGCACCGCGCACGGGGAGGCCACGGCCACCCTGCCTGCACCGGGCACCTCACACGGGGAGGCGGTCACGGCCACCCTGCCTGCACCGGGCACCAGGCACAGTGGGGCGGTCACGGCCACCCTGCCTGCACGGGGAGGCGGTCATGGCCACCCTGCCTGCACCAGGCGTCAGGCACAGTGGGGCGGTCACGGCCACCCTGCCTGCACCAGGCACCAGGCACAGTGGGGCGGTCACGGCCACCCTGCCTGCACCGGGCACCGCGCACGGGGAGGCCACGGCCACCCTGCCTGCACCGGGCACCTCACACGGGGAGGCGGTCACGGCCACCCTGCCTGCACCGGGCACCTCACACGGGGAGGCGGTCACGGCCACCCTGCCTGCACCGGGCACCAGGCACAGTGGGGCGGTCACGGCCACCCTGCCTGCACGGGGAGGCGGTCATGGCCACCCTGCCTGCACCAGGCGTCAGGCACAGTGGGGCAGTCACGGCCACCCTGCCTGCACCGGGCACCGCGCACGGGGAGGCGGTCACGGCCACCCTGCCTGCACCGGGCACCAGGCACAGTGGGGCGGTCACGGCCACCCTGCCTGCACCGGGCACCGCCCCAGACGCTCCCGGGAACGGGCTCACTCCTGGCTGCACTGGCTGCGGCACCACCATCTGCTTTTGGCAGAAGGAAAAGGAGCGTTCAGGGAGCTGGAGGCTCAGTCCCGTGTGCCCTCTGTGGCCCTGCTGAGGGGCGAAGCTGAGGTTTGAGATCCGGCGCGGCGCGGTGTTTGAAGATGAGAATGAGGCTTCCGGGGAGAGGCCGGCACAGACTCGGCCTTCTCTGCTGTCCCGGTCAGGGAGCGACTTGCTCACTGCAGCGTTCGGAGGTTTCAGGGAGATCCCAGCCCTCTGCCTGCTGCTCTCCCCTCAGCTCAGCAAAGTGGCAGCTCTCTGGGGGCTGGTGTGGTGCAGCCGTCTGCAATGCTGACATGCCACGGCTGTCAGTTCAAGTCCTGGCTGCCCTGCTCTGAGCCAGCTCCCTGCCAATGCGCCTGGGAAGGTAACAGAAGGTGGCCCAAGTGCTTGTGCCCTGCTACCCACGTGGGAGACCCGGATGGAGTTCTTGGTTCCTCTGTCTCTGTAACTCTGTATTTCAAATGCATAAAATAAGTATTTTAAAAATGACAGTTTGCAGAGGGTTGTATCAGAGTGGAAGGAGAAGAGAAATTTCCTGATTTCTAAACCCATAGAGAGTGCCCCTGGTCCTGTGGTGGGAGCAGAGCGTGGCCGACACTGGGACAGGGTGAGGGCTGCTGGCAGCGGCTCGGTGGCCGACACTGGGACAGGGTGAGGGCTGCTGGCAGCGGCTCGGTGGCCGACACTGGGACAGGGTGAGGGCTGCTGGCAGCGGCTCGGTGGCCGACACTGGGACAGGGTGAGGGCTGCTGGCAGCGGCTCGGTGGCCGACACTGGGACAGGGTGAGGGCTGCTGGCAGCGGCTCGGTGGCCGACACTGGAACAGGGTGAGGGCTGTTGGCAGCGGCTCAGCAGCGAGCACCTGATGCTTGGGGGTCTGTGGCTCTCGGGCGTCAGGTGCTCAGCACCGGGGGCAAGGACCCTTCCTGACTGAACTCTGCTCACACGCCCCAGGCCATGGGGCCAGATGTGGACCAGACTCGGCAAAACTCCTGCTGTCAGCTGAGGGAGCCCCCCCCCCCCTCTGCTCAGACCTGTCACGCTCGGTGTCTTCTGAGCTGGCCCGCCTGAAGCAGACCTGTGTGTCAGCTCCGGGGTTTCCTGGAGTCCTCTCCCACCCACGCCCCATCCGCCCTGCTCATAAACTGCCCTGGTCCTTGTTATGTTCAAAGCTGACCCAATCTCTCGCTCCCTGTAAAACCCACGTGAGCTCCAGTACCTGTATAAAGTCCGCCTGACTCCTCTTCGGCAAGTGCCGGAATGATTTCTTAACAACTGTGTCGAAAGTAAATCTAGGAAAAAAGTGGGTCCCAGAGAAATGTGCCACCGTACACACACTTCAGCTTCGGCGAGCCTTCGCCGTGTCCATGTTGGATTCTGAACAGCACGTCCTGCTGAAAACCTGAGGAATCTGCAGCCATAAAATGCACGCAGCGTGTATGGCCTGGATCCGAGGATGTGGCGCAGGGCCCTGACCGTCTTCCCAGCGCCCTTGCTCCCCCAGGATGCTGCTACTGCTGGCTGGGTGACCTCACGCAGGGGCGCAGCCTTTCTGAGCCACCCCGGCAGCGAGCTGAGGCCGGGGGCGGGGCTTCCCTGTGGGAGACCCTGACCCGGCGTGGATGATGGCCCTCAAGGAGTCCGTAGAGCTTGGGTGGCCAGAGGCTCTGCCAGCACAGCGGAGTGTGAGCGGCAGCCTGGCCAGAGGACGCTGACCTCAGAGCTCCCAGCACAGCGGAGTGTGAGTGGCAGCCTGGCCAGAGGACGCTGACCGCAGAGCTCCCAGGCAGGCTGTGTGGGGCAACTGGCAGTGTCCGGAGACACTTCTTGTCATCCCTAGAGATGGTGGAGAGCAGGGAGCTGCTGCCCAACGTCCCACAGCAGAGAAGCGTCCAGCCCGAAATGTTAGCCGCGCACAGGCGAGACCCTCACCCGGAAAGGGAACCCTCTGCAGGTAACCCTAAGACCACATGGAGCGGGTCGCGGTGCTCTAGGGACGCCCAGCTCGCCTGCCCAGTGACGGCCTGGCGTGACGTCTGCGGTCAGGAACCTGGGGAACTCCGGTGCAGTGTTAAGAGACGCGAGCTTCATATCCGCAGAGTGTAATCGCCTGATTTCACCACAATTGCTATTTAAGGAACAGATCTACAAGAATTCGTCTCCCCTCCCCCCAAACAACGCGCCATAAAACGAACCTGTAGGCACACTGGAATGTCAGAATGACACAAACTAGGCAGGCCCTGGCCGGGCGGTGAGAACTTACCAGAGAGTTTCCTTTCCAGACTTGTCTCCTAGGTGAGTTCAGACTTCGGGTCAGGCGGTCGGAAGTCACCAACAGTAGTCAAGAGACGAGATTCCAGGACGCGGCTTCTCCCTCTCCTTTAGCCAGACGCAAGTCCTGGGGAAGGGACGGGACTCCTGACACAGAGCTGAGACAGAGCGCACCCAGTCTCAGCGCCACGCCCACGTCCCAGAGAGCCAGGTGGAGCCAACTCTAATTCCAGCGAGGCCGCGGCCGGCCTGGTGCTCTTTAGCCAAGAGGTGTGAGTCAGTGGAGGCCAGCAGAGGGTGTCAGGACGCAGGCCTCCCCCGGGTGCAGCGCGGTCACTGTGCCTCCCACAGGCTGGGCCACGCAGCAGCGAGTGGCTCTGAGCAAAGCTGGCAGACTGGTGTTTCCTGTGTCACTGCAGGTGAGCAGGCCGCCAGGCGCTGGGCAGGCCTGGGACATGGCAACCCCTGTGCTGCCCCACCGGCTGGGGTGTGGCTCACTCATCTCTAGCCAACGGCCTTGTGGCTCCGGCTCAAGTGTAAACGAGGCTTCTTCAGCTCTCTCTGCCTCTTGGTCTCCACCAATCAGCAGGAACCATGGAGCTCCATTAGCTGCGGACTTCCGGGCACACAGCAGAATTCTTGTCAATGTACTCGCAGGAAGTAAAATGGCTTGTGCTTAGGTTTAAAATCACCAAGGAAAGGAGATATTAACCTTGGGGGCGACCACCACTTCCAGGAAGCAGTAACAACCACGTCCAAGGTGGTCGCTTGGTCGAGTGTTTCCTAAACAGCACTTTGGTACAGCGTGTGCTCAGGAAACAGTGATTAAAGGAGGAAGTCTAACCTACAGAACAGGCACGCGCGCTTTGGGACGCAGGGCGAAGAGAGTGTTCTGTAACAGAAGCACCCCCGGCTTAGTGGTACCGTTTATGTCACATATGCACAGGGTCACGCTTCTTTTTTTTTTTTTTTTTTTGACAGGCAGAGTGGACAGTGAGAGAGAGAGACAGAGAGAAAGGTCTTCCTTTGCCGTTGGTTCACCCTCCAATGGCCGCCACAGCTGGCGCACCGCGCTGATCCGATGGTAGAAGCCAGGTGCTTCTCCTGGTCTCCCATGGGGTGCAGGGCCCAACCACCTGGGCCATCCTCCACTGCACTCCCTGGCCATAGCGAGAGCTGGCCTGGAAGAGGGGCAACCGGGACAGAATCCGGCGCCCCGACCGGGACTAGAACCTGGGGTGCCGGCGCCGCAAGGCGGAGGATTAGCCTAGTGAGCCGCGGCGCCAGCTCTGGGTCACGCTTCTTAACTTTCTGCATTTGAGTTTCTGTATTTTGTGCTGCTCTGACTTCTTGGGGCCTTGCCACTCCCCTGCCCCAGGGCTGGCAGGCCCCTGGAGATAGCAGATGCACCCCTGTTCACACCGACCGCCCCAGCCCCAGCCCCAGCCGGTGTGAGCTCGGCTTTATCTGGCTGTTCCACTGGGGAGCCACAGCCTCCACCCTGCCTCCCACACTGGGCTGGGCGGCAGACGGGGCGGCCAGCACCCGGAGCCTGCTGTGAGGACTCCGCCTCTGTGCAAACCGGGTCAGCCAGCCCCTGCTCGCCAGTTGCTTCCCCCCAAAACCACAGCGAAGGTCCTGCCCACGCTGCCCGCGCTCCGCCTTGCCCTGTGGGGCAGCTAGAGTGTGACTTCCTCCTTCCTCAGCGCCCTTCTCACGACTTCACCTCCACAGTGCCAGGACGGATCCTGTCCCCCCGTCAGAAACGGACAGACACGGAAACAGGGGCCACGCCGACCCAACTCGGCCGCCATCTCGCCCACAACCTGCGGGCGTTGTACACACGCACAGGAGAGACTGAGCGGCAGCTCCTGCTGAGTCCAGCACGGAAACCCGAAGACACGGTGGTCACCTGCTTCCTAGAAGGGATGAGAAATTCCGAGAGACGCTTGTGCAGAGCGCTTACCGAGAAGCAGCAGGACAGCCAGCCCCGGCCACCGCCCGGTGCACTGACAGTCGTGGAGGTCCCCAACTCCCCAGGGACCTGCACAGCTCCATAGTCGCTCCCCGAGTTGGGTATTCAGGTCCCAGCTGAGGGCTCCTGGGCTGAGGCCATTGCAGGCCTGCCCTGGTCACCACCCAGGCGTCCTGCCCCGAGGAGATTCCTGTAGGACACGAGGGGGTCCTGGGTGTTGGGTCTGCTTCTGTGCAGCCACTGTTGAGGTGGGTAGCCCAGGAGTGGCCGTGCAGCTGGGGGAGGGGCAGGCCCAGGAGTGGCCATGCAGCTGGGGGAGGGGCAGGCCCAGGAGTAGCCATGCAGCTGGGGGAGGGGCAGGCCCAGGAGTGGCCATGCAGCTGGGGGGAGGGGTAGGTAGCCCAGGAGTGGTCATGTAGCTGGGGGAGGGGCAGGCCCAGGAGTAGCTGTGCCACCTTGGGGGGAGGGATGGGTAGCCTAGGAGTGGCTGTGCCACCTTGGGGGGAGGGGCAGGCCCAGGAGTGTCTGTGCCACCTTGGGGGGAGGGGTGAGTAGCCCAGGGGTAGCTGTGCTACCCTGGGGAGGGTATCCAGGGTAGCTAGCTGTGCCACCCGAGGGGACCCTGGTCCTGCAGAGCTGGGCAAGCTGCCCTCAAGCACACATAGAGCGTTCAGTGGGAGCAGCAGGGGCCTGGGGGCCTGGATGAACCTGCAGAGCACGGAGAACAAGGGTAGGGCTGGGGCTGGAGCTGCCGGCACTCAGCTGGGACAAGGGACAGAGGGCGTGGGCAGTGTGTGTGGCCAGAAGTAGGCCTCAAGTGGTCTTTTAAATGTTTATTTATGTACACTTATTTAAAATGCAGAGAGAGAGAGGGAGAGCGAGGCTTCATGTGCTGGTTCACTCCCCAGGTGTCTGCAGCACCCAGAGCCGGGCCAGGCTGAAGCCAGGAGGCAGAAGCTCCACCCAGGTCTCCCTGGAGAGAGAGAGAGAGAGAGAGAGAGAGAGATCCTTCATTTGCTGGTTCACTCCCCAGGTGTCTGCAGCACCCAGAGCTGGGCCAGGCTGCAACCAGGAGGCAGGAACTCCACCCAGGTCTCCCTGGAGAGAGAGTGAGAGAGAGAGAGAGAGAGCCAGAGAGAGAGAGATCAAGAGAGCGAGAGAGATCGAGAGTAAGAGAGATCTGTCAATTGCTGGTTCACTCCCCAGGTGTCTGCAGCACCCAGAGCTGGGCCAGGAGCTCCATCCAGGTCTCCCCGGGTAGGTGACGGGGCCCAAACACCTGAGCCAGCCCTGTGCCCTCCAGGATGCACGTGGGCAGGAACCAGAGTCAGAGCAGAGCTGTGTTCCAGTGCAGGCGCCCCCACACAGGACGCAGGTGTCCCCAGCAGGTGCCACAGCACCCACCTCGAGGTGTCCCTCACCATCGACAGGGCATGCAGCATGGCCCCACCCAATACTGAGCAGCAGCAGGCGAGCCTGGCCCACCAGGGTCGGCCCAGCCGGGGGGGAGGGCGCGGGAGCACCCCCACTCGCCGGACTGCAGGGGGCCAGGCTGTCCTCAGTGAGCTCCCACCAGCTCCTGGGGCGGCCAGTGCAGGAAGTGGCTGACAGGGGCTCCTCACCCCGGCCCCTCCCCCAGGCTCCTCTGCCACTCACCTGCGGAAGCAGAGCTTTGGGCCCACCCGGCAGTGCCCCGGTACATGGGCTGGACTCACTAACTGCAGTCAGCCCCTTCTGAGCCCGGTGTCAGAAGCAGCAGAGGCCAGGCCTGTCCAGAGCCGGCCCTTACGGCACAGGGGTCTGGGTCCCGAGCCCAGGGCCCAGCAGAGCCGTGTCTGCTGGTTCACAAGATCCCCACATGGTGACAGGGGCTGGGAGGCTTCACCCATGACCTAGCCACGCCCAAGACCCCAGCCCTCCCACGACCACCTTGGAGGCTGGGGTGCCACCATGTGGACTGGTGAATTTGGGGAACATGGGCACCCAGCCATAGGGTGGACTGGAAACCCGCGATTGCTCTCTGAGGCCCCTCCCTCCCCGACTCAGGGTCACTGTGCTGTGCTGAGCCCAACTCCTCCCTCTTCCAATCCAGCCTCCTGCTAATGTGCACCCCGGGAGGCAGCGGTGATGGCCCGAGTGCTTTGCCCCTGCCACTCACACAGGAGGCCCACCTGGAGTTCCAGGCTCCTGGCCTCCGCCTGGCCCAGCCAGGGCTGTTGTAGGTATTCAGGGGATGAACCGCTGGATGAAAGCGTGCGTTCTCTCTCTCTCTCTCTCTCTCTCTCTCTCTCTCCCAGCCTTCCTTCCTTTCCTTTTTAAAGATTTGATTTATTTATTTGACAGGTAGCGTTACAGAGGGAGAGACAAAGAGAAAGATTACCATCCGCTGCTTCACTCCCCAAATGGCCACAACGGCTGGAGCTTTTCCAGGTCTCCCATGTGGGTGCAGGGGCCCAAGCACCTTCCACTGCGTCCCCGGTCAAAGCAGGGGGCTGGATCAGAAGTGAGCAGCCGGGACTCGAACCGGCACCCTTATGGGATGCTGGCACTGCAGGTGGAGGCTTAGCCCACTACACCACAGCGCCAGCCCCTCTAGGTCTCTCTTTCTCTAAACAATGCCTGTGTGAACCCCGGGAGCCCCAAGACGTCCAGGCGCCTCAGTCCTGGGGGCTGTGGGTCCTAGCGGGCAGTCAGAGCTGGCCTGGACGCCTTGCCGGCCCATGAACTGCTCTGTGCCTCCTGTGACTGCTGTCCGGGGCCGAAGGACCTGCGTTCTGCCACTGGGCATTGTCCGGAAGGCTGGGCTCCGCATTCACAGGTCCAGGCAGATCCGGACCGAAAATGTTTGCAAAGTCCTGAGCATAGGCCGAGATCTCTGCGGCACGGTGCCGCGCCTACTTGCACAGCAGTGTGCGCGTGGGGTTTCCTCATCCCCGAGGGGGCCTGCAGATGTGTGCAGACACGGCGTCGTCTGTCAGAGCTGCTTGGGCACACACAGGCCCTGGAACCGAGACACTGTGGGCTCACATCCACACGATGGGCTCGGGGGTGCTTCCAAGGGGCCAGCGGCCCGGTTGGCGGTGCAGGTATGCGGCGGTCAGAGCTGCCTGGGCACACGCGGGTGTGGGTGGCCGCAGGACCCTGGAACCGAGACGCTGTGGGCTCACGTCCACGTGACAGGCTCAGGGGTGCTTCCAAGGGGCCAGCGGCCCGGTTGGCGGTGCAGGCGTGCGGGATGCCAATGGAGATGGATAAAACTGCCCTTCCCGCAATCCTGATGTGGTGGAGTGGGCGCACATCGGAAACAGATCACCAAGGCCATCCGCAGAGCATGGTGGGGCCCGTGGCGTGGGCCCAGCCCTCGTCTGCGTGTCGGCTCCGGGCAAGCCTCACCGTCAGAGGTGACAATGTTCGGGGACAGACACCCGCTCCCAGGCAGGATTCCACAGCACCCACTCACCGGGCCTAGAGAGACACCTGCAGCAGAGCGCAAGGAGCCGGTGACCCCGCGGAGGACGACACACCACAAGGGTGGACCCTGTCTCCTCCACCACTCAGGGGCGAGAGAGGACCATGCAGCCGGCATGGCGTCCGCACCGGGCCCCACAGCGCTCCCTACTGGAGAAGGGGGCTCAGCCACCTGGTTCCAGTAGACCCCTGTTGGGCATTGCCTAAAATCTCCATTACAGCATGGCGCCTGGCAGATGTTCGAGGGGCGTGTCTGCGGCTGCTGCGGTTAAGCTACATAAGATCAGACCACCGGCAGGGATAGGTCCGCTTTGGTTCCGGACACATGGACCGTGCGTGATCCCTATACTTTGCTTAAGGTGCCCCGTGCGTGGTCCACCCGTGCCTGCGTGACCTTTTCGCTGACTGGCTCCCCTACTGCACATGACCTTCGTAAGCTTTATAAGCCTGTACGCTTCCTCAATAAAGCGGTTCCTGCTTTGACAGAACCCACGGGTGCTGTGGTGTGTTCTTGACCCGTCGACCTTACCTCTCCCGTTCGCCTTGTTGGGGAGAGCTTGCGCTGCCCCTGCTGGTCAGGGGCTAGCATTGGGCTTGAGACCCCGGCAGACCCCTGCCCCTCCACCTGGACCCCAGGACCCAGGAGCACCCAAACTGCCCAGCGTTCTCCGGCGGTCCTGTCACTCACTGAAGCCTCGGCACACGGAAACCACAAACAGGTAGATCCAAAGCCAGGCCCGCCGGAAGCCGTGCCCGCCCGAAGCCGCGCCCACTGGAAGCCAAGGTCAGCCTGTGCGCGTGGACTCCCGCTGGGGTGTCCCTGCTGGCCCTGGGCGTGCCTGGGACAGCGGCTGCTCGCTGTGGTGACGGGGAGCGGCTACAGGGGCAGCCCTGAGACCAGAGAGCAAACCACAGCTCTGGCGCGGCCTGGCGGACCCTGCTTCCAGGCCGGCGTTTAGGGGACTGGACGTTGAGGAGTCACGGGCATGGGTGCGGCCAACACGGGCTTCCTGAGAGGCTCACCCCTGGGCTTCCGTGGGGCAGCAGCCTCGCTCCCTGGGGGCACAGGGGCTTCTCCCCGAGATACTGGGGAGGGAGGTGGCCGGAGCCCGGGACAGCGTGGCCGCGGCCAGACCCCTCCCGAGCGACCATGTGTCCCTGTCACCTTGCGGCTGCACACCCTCAGCCTGCTGTTTCCGGGCAAAGCCAGTCTGAGGGCCAAAAGGCTGAGCCCGCGCTCTCTGGCGCAGGAGCCACCACCGGCCACGGCTCCAGGCGGCCGGGTTTCCCGCATCGCATCTCAGGCTCAGTGACCGCTGCAGAGCATGGCCCCCTGGGACGGCAGGGCGCGTGACCACGGCAAGCGCTGTCATGCGGTGGAACTCGCTCTCCGCGCCCGCCACTGCTCTGCTGTCCTGCTGCACCTCTGCGCGTGCGCTGGCCCCGGGGTGCTGAGTCACGTTCCCCCGATTGATTCCACGGTGGGGCAGGGCCATCCTCCGTGGGTGCTGGGTCGTGTTCCCCTGATTCCACGCTGGGGCAGGGCCATCCTCCGTGGGTGCTGGGTCGTGTTCCCCTGATTCCACGCTGGGCAAGACCATCCTCCGTGGGTGCTGGGTTGTGTTCCCCTGATTCCACGCTGGGCAGGGCCCAGAGGTGCTGTCTTCCATGGGTGCTGAGTCATGTTCCCCTGATTCCACGGTGGGGCAGGGCCATCCTCCGTGGGTGCTGAGTCACATTCCCCTGATTCCGCGGTGGGGCAGGGCCCGGAGGGGCCTCTCCTGTGGGTGCTTGAGTCACGTTCCCATTCTGCGCTTGGGGCGAGCCGGGAGGAACCCTCTCCCTGGTTGCTGAGTCACGTTCCCAATTCCAAACTGGGCCAGGGCCCCGGGGGGGCGTGCACCAGGGCAACTATAGAGCAGATTCAGGCTAACGAGGGATGGGGTTGCTCATCAAGCCAGCTAACTAGTGTAGAGAGGCAGGAACAGCAGTGGAGTGGACGCTAGGTGCAGGACCACCCGCCGAGTGCCTCACACAACACACGTGTTAGAGTGAATCCAGGCTGGGACAAGCAGAAAGGAGCAAACACATGCAAAGCAGACTGCCTAGGAGCACTGTGACAGCAGTGTGAGGGCTCCCACGTAGGGGTACTGTGAGAGCACAGTGTGAGGGCTCCCACGTAGGAGCTGTGAGAGCAGTGTGAGGGCTCCCACGTAGGGGCTGTGAGAGCACAGTGTGAGGGCTCCCACGTAGGGGCTGTGACAGCACAGTGTGAGGGCTCCCACGTAGGAGCTGTGACAGCACAGTGTGAGGGCTCCCACATAGGGGCACTGTGAGAGAGGTGTGAGGGCTCCCACGTAGGGGTACTGTGAGAGCAGTGTGAGGGCTCCCACGTAGGGGCTGTGAGAGCAGTGTGAGGGCTCCCACGTAGGGGCACTGTGACAGCAGTGTGAGGGCTCCCACGTAGGGGCACTGTGACAGCAGTGTGAGGGCTCCCACGTAGGAGCTGTGAGAGCAGTGTGAGGGCTCCCACGTAGGGGCTGTGAGAGCACAGTGTGAGGGCTCCCACGTAGGAGCTGTGACAGCACAGTGTGAGGGCTCCCACATAGGGGCACTGTGAGAGAGGTGTGAGGGCTCCCACGTAGGGGTACTGTGAGAGCAGTGTGAGGGCTCCCACGTAGGGGCTGTGAGAGCAGTGTGAGGGCTCCCACGTAGGGGCACTGTGACAGCAGTGTGAGGGCTCCCACGTAGGGGCACTGTGAGAGAGGTGTGAGGGCTCCCACGTAGGGGCACTGTGAGAGAGGTGTGAGGGCTCCCACGTAGGGGCACTGTGAGAGCAGTGTGAAGGCTCCCACGTAAACTGTTACAGGATGACATGATTGCGCCGCTGCATGTTTTCTAGTGTGGAAAAGGAAATATGCATATGTATGCGGATTCTCTTATTCTTGTTTACTTGAAAGAGGGAGAGAGACAGGGAGCGCAATCTGCCGTCCACTGGTTCACTCCCCAGATGCTCTACAAATGCCGAGCCAGATCCGGGCTGCAGTCAGTAGCTGGGCACTCATTGAGGTCTCCCATGGGTGCCGGGGACCCAAGTACTTGGCCGTCACCTCTGCCTCCCAGGGTGTGCACCGGCAGAGAGCTGGAGTGGAGGCCGGGTCTCCAACCCAGGCGTGCGCTGTGGCGCGCTGTGCATCCCAGACCCCGTCGTCTGCGAGAGCCCTGTGCTGAGGCTCCGGAGCTCGTGGGTGTTTGGTCCAGTTGGACACTGCCCAGGTGGGACTGTGGGGACGTGAGTGAGCCGGAGGGACGCAGTGAATGCGACAGAAGTGTCGTCCCGGAACCTGGTCTTTGGCGCGTGTGCACTTAGCTTTGTGTTGCTTTTCTGAGCATTTGAAAACTCCCATGAGTGAGATGTTTGATTACTCCAGCTTTATTGTAGCCCAACCACGTGGTGCTTTTCTGATTGCAGTCTTGGACAGGACGGTGTGGGGGTCAGAGGTGCGGGGTGGAGCCGTCTGTCCATGCACCTGCTCCGTCGGCCAGCCCCTGGGAGCACTGCTCTGTCGTCTGCTTCAGTTCCCTTTGGTTCCAAATGGCGCTAATGTGCCTGCCGCTGAGGCCTCACCCGCATGGCTGTCCTTGTCAGCATCCGGACACTTCTCAGCCAGGTTGGTAAGGAGCCCATGCCCGGGACCCTCCCGTGGGCCGTGATCCAGGACCTCAGTTTGCACTGAACTGCTCGGTTTTGTGAGTGCTGCCCCTGTGCACCCCTTGGGGGACTGGGGTGAGCACACTCCACGGGGGTGGCTCCGTGCGTGTGAGCTGCAGGAAGCAAGTCCTTTGTTTTTACGGAAGCCCGGGGGTCCCGTCGTCATCTTATGGTCAAGGGGAAGATGGAGGGTTAATGTTGAGGTTGTTAATTTCTTAGCTGAAGTGGGTCATTAAAAAATAATTGAAAAGAAGGCGAGGTGGGTCGGCAGGCGGGCCACGACTGTCCTTCTCGGGCTGAAACGTGACCAGCAGATTCCAGTGACCTGAAGTTCCTAAAGCAGGCACATCCTGTGTGCAGATGGCCCGGAGGTCAGCCAGGTCAGCTGGGACCGGAAGCTCCCAGCAGCCGTCACGTCGACCTCAGACCCAGACTTTTTGTCCAGGTTCTTCA